AAAATTTCCATACATTGTAAAGAGCAACAGGCACTTTCAAATTATGCCCAAAACTAAAAAAAAGACAAAAATGGAGATACGAGGTTTTGTTCCGACAGCAGAGCTATTTTACTCATTAGGAAATGACCAAGTGCATCAAGTAGGCCTACATTCAATGTACTGCTTTTTTCCAGTGCAACTGGTATTTCCATTTCACTGGTTTTACCAAAACATTTTATACCATAAAAAGCGTAGAAAAGTATAGAAAGAAAAAAAAGCATGAAGTGGGTTCAAGTTGCAGGGAGTATTGTGGAGCTTCTAAAGAAGAGAGCTGTCTGTGTTACGGCAGAAATCTCCTGAACACCACCACAGTGAGCAGCATCATGGTGTGCAGTTGAATGTATCTAACATACTGTGTGTGTTTTTATGGGTCCTGCAGCTCCTTTTTGTTAGTGTAGTCTCTCCAAGTGCCATATATTTGTTCTTCTGTCTCTCTGTCCATCTCTCACCCCATCCTCTCTCTCTCTCCCCCTCATATCTGGGTCTGGTTGATCTGTCACTCTCCCTTTGTCCTTCCATCAAATCACAGAGACAAATCATCTCAGTGGTTCTCCTCTCTCTGTACTCGTGCATGCACACACCATCTGGACACAGGACCCCCCCTCATACTAACCCTACCCACTTACCCCACTGCCCGATGCCCACAGCTACAACACAGGAGAGTGTAGCACCTAAATCACATACAAATAAAAAACAAAACCTTACAGGCGGCTTTTTGTCATGCTGCGACTCAGCTGTCACTTTGCTCTTTGATTTCCGTTGATTTCTGCAGTTATGCCTGCAGGGCAGCGATAGAGGAGTGTCAATACTGTGTTTGTCACCTAATGTGCATCAATCGGCCTCTGTAAGGTTGACTGAGGCCAGACAGATTTGATTTACAGAACATGACAGCTTTTGTCCATTGTCTGGTTGTGTTAGAGCGCAAAAGGTATCGGCCTCTAACAAAATGATGTTTTTTTGGACATCATGGATTTGTGTTATTTTTGACCATTAACTATTACACTTCATGGTGTTTAAATAAACCAGGGCTGTCAAAACATTAAATATTAAATGCTGTATAATCACATTAGTCTGCACAGATTACAATTAGCGGTTTACTGTGTTATAGCTATACAACTGGGCAAAATATGCTTCATCAGAATGTATTTATTACTTTCAATAATTAATAACATTATGTTCATCATGTGAGTTTAGGATTTAAATGAACCTGAACATAAAAATCCTGTTATTTCCACGGGGTAAAAGCATTTTCCAATTTTAATCACAGATCTCCAGTGAGAGTAACAGTGGCTGCATGTTCCAGCCAATGAGTGTATATATTACACAAACAGTGAATGATTCCAATGCAGTTGCAGCCTCTCACTCTTGCTCACGCAGCTTGTGCAGTGGAGGCACTTGAGGGGACTGCAGGTTTCTGCTTTGCTATTATTTTTGTTAGTTTTCTGAGCATTAATTTATGCATAGGCCTCCTGCGAGCACCGTCCAGTGTAGTCTGCTGGAGGTGCCAAAGGTATCACCTTAAAAGCCATTTAAAAGCTGTATTTGAACAAGATTTTTTCTGCAAACACTGATGCAAAATTTGCTGAGTGTAACATATTGGGGAAAAAAAAAACAAAAACAAACATAAAATCTGCCATACCTTTTGCAGAGGCTATGTTTTATTATTGTTCCCAATATGTTAAATTCAACAAAAAAATAGTTGTGCATTAAAACGTGCAGAAGTGTGTTCTCTAGAGGATGTGTACTTATTTGTGCTTAGAAAATTAACTAAACATTTAATTTGACCAGGGCGCCCAAACTTTTGCATACAACTGTGCATGAGCCCACACACGCGTTCTCTAGTTCCGTATTAACATGGCAAATTAGAAAAAAGAAAAAAAAAAACAACATATATTCAGAACAATATTCTGAAATGAAAGAGTGACCTATGTTTCTTCAAGCTCAGAATGGGCATGCACTGAAGCGCTATGCCAACTCTATGCTCAGCTGTCATCTTCCACATTGTTTATGGTGACTATGAGTCTCTGTCACCGTTTCATCTGACCAGTCCAGCCTGGTCGCTAGGCATCCAACTCAAACAGCCACATTCTAACTCTAGGATGGGCCCACACGTCATCAGAGACAAATTAAGAACTGGGCTCCTAGACTCAGTGACTCCACACATATAAACATGTGCGCACACACACACACAAATATATATATATATATATATATATATATACACACACACACACACAAATATATAAATAAACAGAGGCCTATTTATTGATACTGAACTGTGAGCAGTGTGTTGACCGCTATCTGTAAATCAGCTGCTCATGCCAACACGAACACATAGGCTGCCACAAGTGTCACCCTGCTGAGTAAATCCTCACAGAATTAGCATTATTAAGCCGTCTGAATTAACACTAGAAAACAACATCTCGGTTTTATATACCTGCTGTACTAGGCAGAAGCGCTGAGCCGCCACCAGTGTCAAATACACACCCAGGTTAAAAACTGACTTAGGAACAGGACAGAAATACATATGAATTGATTAAACAAGCACTTGCAGGGCTTTTGTGTCTCACCCCTGTATATGTGGTGGGTCAATATGCCAACAGATGGCAGGAGAGGGCTGGGTGAATTAACAGGGAAGGGCTTTTGAGTAAGAAAGACAGAGATGTTTGTGCTAATGGTACAATCTCTAGAGGTCAGACTCCAAGGCCAGCTGCCCCTGCCACACAGAACGAAGGGGGTCACACAGCTAGAAGAAGAACTTTGATTAAACATCGGGGTTTTTCTTTTACATACAAAGAAGGATATATGTTGCTAGTTGCTAACCATACATGAGTGGTCAAAATGTTTTAGTCAGTGACTCCTGTATTTTAGAGGAAGGGTCTAGTCTGCACACAGCATCATGAAACAATGCAAACCAGTATCATACAGAGCAGTTATGCATACAGTGGCATCATTAAATAGTCTGTCACTGAAGGTAAAACACGAAAGGCTTAACCTGGCTTAAGCGTTTTTCTGCACACAGGACGGAAAATGGCACAGAAATGGCTTTTAAAGATCCCAGCTTTTCACCTTACAGTATCACTTCAATTCCTTTTTCACAGTTTATAACTAATCCATCCAACACTGACTTACAACGCATTCTCTAAATCAAATCAACAGTCAAGTCCAGATGTTTAATATTCTTTAGGCACATGCCAGAAATTTAGAGCAGCCGCCTTCATTTGTTTCTTTCTACTCCACATCTGATGACAGGAAAGACAATCACTTCACTGAGAGTGGCTTTCTAATTCGAAACCGTTCATTGTTACAGCATCCCCGTGAAGTCACCAAACCAATGAAAGACGGACACAGCTTCTCCCTCTGACTATCCTTCCATTCACAGAGAGAGAGAGAGAGAGAGAGAGAGAGAGAGAGAGAGAGACAGAAAGACAGAGAGAAGGAGAGAGAGACACACACACAGATCTTGACCAAGCCCACAAGCATCAAAAGACACCATTGTTTCCGAAGAGGAAAGGCTGAAAACTACTATCTGTAAAGTCACAAACGCAGATAGAAGGACATTTGCTAAAGCTTGATGGATCCATGGAAGGTCAAAAGCAGTTTCTTAAACACAATATAAGTAAAACTTTAACAAACCAAGCTGCACACTTCGCGAACTCTCCAAAAATCCCGTCTAAACCAGGGCTGGGTGATATGGTCAAAAATCTTGGTATGATACAATACTGTGCAGAAGTCAGAGAATACTGTTAATTTGTTTAATTTCCAGTCAAAAAAGCAATTTTTCAAATTTCATCAAGTATAAGTTGTTAATTTTTCAGGACATAGGAAACAGTACCTAACGATTCATCCTCAGATAAACAGCACTTAAAGCTTTCATCCTTGAGAGAGAGGAGAAAATCAAGCTCTACTCTTGATTTAGATCTAAGACTGAACTTTGGAGGTGTGGATTTCTTTGAAAAACTGAAAGCAAGTGTCCCACGGCAAAGTGTGGACATAATAAATACCGTAAAAAATGATATATTTACTTCTAAGGCTGAAAAATAAATAATTAGTACTTTAATTTAACTGAAAATTAAATAAATAAAGAGGGATCTCTGACAATACTCACACTGGTGCAATGTGCAAAATTATTTATTATAAGGATCTAAATCAAAAAACGTGATTTCAGTGACTATTGTTATAATTTTATTGCCCAGGCCTAGTCTACACAATGGTTCTTCAGTAAAGAAAATGCATGATTAAAGGGTTCTTTGCATCATAAAAGGGTTCTTCAGATTGATGGAGAATGTGCTGCAGATGGTTCTACATAGAACCTTTTTGAAAAGGGTTCTATATAGCACCAAAAAGGGTTTTTCTATTGTAACAATCTATGTAGAAACCTTTTCAAAAAGTTCTATATAGAACCATCCACAACACATTCTGAAAAACTCTTTCACAATGCAAAGAACCCTTTAATCATGCTTTGAGTGTTCATGGTTCTATATAAAACCTTTTTCTTTACTAAAGAACCCTGGAAAAATATCATTTTAAGAGTGTACAGGTCCACTCGTCTGGAGTTCTGTCTGACCGCCCACTGATGGAAAACAGCTCATGAGCATTGGGACAGAGCTGCATGACATCAAAGGCCAAGATAAAGATTATTTCATGTCAAATTGAGCATTTAAACAAACATCACATCCGGGCTCTCACTGCCAGCATGCTGATATATAGTACTTCACCCTAATTCCTTGTGTGCCCCCTTTCCAATGGCCTTTATAAACCTTTCAGCTCAGAGACAACTTCAGATTTCTGCATTTCCACATTTTATGACTCTAGCAGGCACTACATTTGCAGACACTGCAGCTTCAATGTTTGTGTCTAGAGAAGTGGTTTGGTGTCTGCTTATATATTTGATTGCACCAAAATTTGCCACACAAATCTGACAAGTACAACCAAGCAAGCAAGAAGTAAGGAAGCCTCACCTTGTCGAAGAACTCATAGAGGCGGACAGTTTTGTCGATACTCTCCTTGGTGTCCTCCACTCTCTGGGAGAAGCCTTGCAGGTGGACACAGAAGGAGCGCACTTTGACCTCGTACACCTGCAGCTCGGCCGACGAAATGTCCTCCCATCGCTCTAACCTCTTCAAAAGGGCTTCCCCACTCTTACAGTGCTCCTACAGTACACACAGAAGCACAGTACATAATGAGCAACTGTACATGCACATGCGCACACAAACATGCAAGGACCATAGCACTTTCTCTTTGTTTGCCGCGGCTACAGTCTCTACTCTACATAAAAAAAGACCCTAGATGTTGTAACATTACTGTGAGGATTTAAGCATTAGTGAGGTTAGAGACTGATGTTGGATGCTCTGGATCACAAACACCACTCCAACTCATCCCAAAGATATCAGATGGAACTCCATCACTCCACAAACTGTGGTTCCACTGCTCCACAGCCCAATGCTGGGGCATTTATAACCCTCTAGCCACTGGTCATGGTGATCATGTGCAGCTACTCCACAGCATCACAGTCTATCAGAATTGCTTTTCTATGGAGAGTATACAAGCTGTATGTGTGCAGCTGTTACAGTAGAGGCTGTTACTGTGACACCTGTGTCAGCAACAGGTGCAACTTAAAGTAGCTGAACTCACTAATTGGAAAGGATGTTTGTATATTTTTGGACATGTACAGTACTGTGCAAAAGTCAAGAGACCACCTTTCATTTATTTAATGTCCAGTCAAAATAAGTTGATTTTTGGGAGATATTTCTGAGAAGATTATTATTAAAAGACAGAGAAAATGGGAAAAGGAAAGAGATGAAGAAATTCTGCAAATCAAACAAAGAAGCTGCTGATGTTCTCAGAAAAATGGACTGACCAGCCCAGAGTCCAGACTTCAAAACTATTGAATGCGTGTTGGGATTACTTGCGTCGTGAAAAGCAGCAAATGCAACCACTTCTAAGACTGAACTTTGTAGGTGGGGAAATGGCCCTTGTATATTTCTCTGAAAAACTGAAGGCAAGTCTCCTGTAGAGAAAGGAAGCTCTAATAAAAGGTTAACAGTGGACACACTAAATACTCAAAGATTTTACATTACGTTAAGCAACCGAATCTTGTGTAATGTCTTAAATCTGTGTTTTCTGGTGTTTTTATGTTATGCTGTTAAATGAATAACTCAAGACATCAGAGTACTGAAGAGCCATTTTGACAAGAAATTAAATAAATGAAAGCTGGTCCCTAACTTGCGCACAATACTGTAGCGTAATTTATTGTGATTTGAACCTGATGAAACGTTAAAGTCTTGTTTTGTGGAAAGAAAACAACATTCTTCACATTTTTGCTAATTTTTTTATTTCTTGACATCAAAACAAAAAGTCAGAAGTAGAGAACCTGTCTATGCAGAATGGTAATTACATGTAAATATAATACACTGCACACCAGACTGTACTATTAAATATGTAATTATGTAATTAAATTTAAATTAAAAAAAGCAAAGTATAATTATAAAATATAGGTCAAACACTTGAACTAGCCTTCAGACACAGGATTAAATATGCATAGTCATCCAAATGTTAGATAATTACGCTAAATTTAATCCAACCACAATGTAAACAAACGTGAGAATGTGTACTAGTTTAAAATATAATGAGCATAGGTACAATTTAATGGTGAATTTCATACCTGTTGTGTTGAGTATGCTAGATATCAAAGGAATACAAGTTGGAATATAGATTTTTTTTAGAGCATGTACAGTAGTTGTACAATATGAAAGAGTTGAACTGTGATTTCTAAACAAAAGAAATAGTGTAGACATACATAAGCAGCAGTGTAGAAGTCTCTGAAGAGGGTCTGTTTGCTGCGTAGCTGCTCCAGGGAATCTTCCAGCTCTCCCAGGGTCTGTAGTCGACTTTCCCCTACCTCATCTATCCACTGGCTTACCTAAGAAAGGAGGGCACAAACATACAAGTACACACAGGTCAATCTGCAATCATAGCTACAAGACTATCAGGCACCATCTTGAAAACTTTGGCCATTGACTTCTTGTGCTTTTATATTTCTTTGAATAGCACAACACCAAGTACAGAACGAAACGCAAGTGAGAAAACACAATACTCTTCACCATGCTTCACCCAGCTTTCTTACCACAGCTCAATAACATATCTCTGTTTGAGTTATGTGCCTTGTGCACTTAGGCCAATGGATTTAACCTTGAATCTTATAACTTTGTGGGTTGGAATAGTGTGTCATTGTGTAATGGAAGGCTGTAGAATGACTGTAACTCTCCCATAAAGGATTTGCTTAGCTGATATTTTGATGGGCTGTTAAGGGAGAAGATAGACCATGACAGTCTTAATCTTTCGCAACATCAGTGGGCAGGAAGATACAGCAATCATACTTGAAAACATTTTCACAATACATGGCATGCATCACAATATTTTGCTTTTCCTGTTTTGCAAACAAAATGGAACAGACAAAAACACTAGTACAACATATATAAATGCCATGAAAAACAATGACTACAACAAAGTTTTTGTAAGTCATTTTTTGTAAGTGTTTATAAGAAGGTTTTTAAGAGGAGGAAACAAAAGCCAAACAAATGTAAGATTTAGGGATTTGGAGACCTCTCTGGTGGAAATGTGTAACTACATGTAAAATGTGGAAGAGCATTTTGTAATGTCGGTTTGCTTTGGGGCCCCTTCCCTGTGCAAAATAATCTGATGATTCTGAGTGCATTGAAAGAGAATTCAAAGAGAACTCAATCAAAACTTGGTGAAGGAAGTGAATTATCTACTACTGTCCTCAAATATTCATCAATATAATGTCGATTACAACATAAACTCGAGCTGGAGCCTGTGCGAGTGATCTTAACAGGTAAAGGTGCATGATTTGATCAGAAAAACTCCCCAGAAATCCGACCTGACACCTCTGACTTTTAAAGTATTATTTCAGGCTTTACAGGGTGACTCACAGCAGCGTGCAAACAACATATTTTGCTATGATATTTTGTTACCGTATGTTTTTTCCTCCTGTCTCAGTAATGCTGCTTCTGTCAATTTTAACAAAAGATCTTACACTGTGCTGCTAATTATCTGTGTTGACAGCCAACCAGCTTAATGTTACTATGTTTTCTATGCAGTTACTATACACTGGATGTTGTTATTTACAGGCTCTCCATTACCGATCTATTTTATGATACATGTAGTTGTTCAGTCCTTTTTTTGATGCATGCAGTTGTTTGAGTACTGAGGATACCCATAACATACTCAGAAAAATGTTTCATGATGTAATTTATTACAATAATACTAACATATCATCATATTGTTGACCCCTAGTGGCCTGTAGGGTTGCGTCATACGTACATCAAATGTAATGCTTGAAAAAGTTGTTGGATTTTGCTATGACGATATGCATTTTTAAGCAAACAGCAAAACATACTAAATTACATAAGCACCATTCATTATTGTTTTTAAGTGTAAAATAAAAATAATGTAATACTATTAGCTGCTTACATCACAACTGCAAGCACATTTTTGTGCATGTTTTTAGAAAAACTGTCACTATTCCCTGAACAGCTTTTTCTATATGACTTTGTTTTATATAAATAGTTGTAAAAAATAAAACATAAAATGTGGCCTTTGCAAAAGCTATGGCATACTTTATATTTTATGTTTTTCCCCAACATGTTAAACTTGGCAGAAATTCTGAAATTTACTGAAATTTGCAGAAAAAAATGGAATTTAAGTTGTTCCTTACAGAGGATGTGTTAACTTGTTTTCAACTGCAAAATCAACACAACATGAAATTTGACTGAAGGTATTCAAACTTCTGCATATGACAATATATGCACTGAATATACATTACATTAATTGGGAAAAAAAGAGAGTAAACTGTAGAGTCATGCTAAAACGGACATGAGGAACAGCACTAACCTCCCTGAAGCCCTCTTCAAGACTCTTAAACTCCATGACAAACTCCAGCTCCTGAGTGCATTTGTTGGACAGCATCACCAGCCTGTGGACCAGCTCGTCCACCTGATTATACAGACTGCCCACACCCTCGATGGCATCTCTGTAATGCAACACAATACAAACACAGATTATTACATGTAAAGAACAAGGACTGAGCACTGTGAGTTTAGGTCAAAGCAATTCAAGCCAAATTGCAAAAAAATATATCAATTAATATTTTTCCCCCTGAAATCTTACTGTCGAAAGCTACTGACTGGATCATGCAGGTCAGAAAAGGTGAAAATGTCATAAAGTTATTATTATTTCCTCAGAGACGGGAGCTCCTGTAGCTCTGTGAACTTTCCCAAGATCACAGTATCACTGGCCAAGTCAGTTGCAGCTGAAGCCCTGATTGGATGTGGGTTAAGTGGCACTGCTCTGACTGGGTGTGTTTTTTTGACTGACAGGGTGCTCCAGCAATGGAAGGATGTATAGACTGGTGTCTCTGATGAGGCCATCTATGCCAGCCCTCACAGCCAGCTGTGCCAGACCTATCACCTTAGACGCACACTGTGTGTGTCTTTGCCCTTTTCTCAGCAGAGAAACATTAGTGACGAGCTGTAATGCAGTGACTGGGCACATTGTGTACAGTGGCAAAGGTTGATGACTAAAGGATGACTTCATCTCTGCTGCAGCTCCGTAACACAAAGCTGGATTGTGTTCTGATTCAACTTCCACACAACATTTCCCTCAAGATCACAGTCAGAGAGTTTTCCTCTTTCTGAATGTCTCTTACACACACATATACAGTAACATGCAAAATATTCAACACCACCCCGGGTCAAAGATTTGTTGATTTCAGCAAAATAAGTTAATATATCCTCTATAAAGAACAAACATGTCATTGTAAATGTCATTTTTCTGCAACTTTTTTTTGCAACAGTTTGTATTTATTTGCTGAGACATACTGTAAGAAAATAAAACATAACATATAAAATGTGCCATAATTTTATATAGGCCACATTTTGTTTTCTACCAAATATGTCAGTAAATAAACAGTAACTGTATACAAAAATGTGCAGAAGTGTGTTTTCTGTAGAGGTTGTTTTATCTTCTTTTCACTTAAATCAACAAAACGTCATCTGAGGCACCCAAACTTTTGCATGACTGTATAGTTACAATCACTACAACAACAGCACAAAGCTCTTGTATGTAAGGAGTGTCAGATCGACACTATCTACAATGAATCATCAAAGCCTCAACTAACACACACACATAACCAGTGGTAGATCCACCCATGCAGTGGGAATTAAGTGAGAGTACAACCTAACTGTTGTGAATTGGTGTTTTATTATCTTTGACTTATCGTGATTAATCTAACTGGCTCTAATTTGACCCTAAGGAAAGATTTTTTTCCATTAAAAAAGGAGTGTATTTTGATATAGCTAAACGTGTGGACAAAAAAAATCATCACAATATAGTTATCATTTTGAATAAATAAACTTGAAGCTGAACATAAATCACACGATTGTAGGCTGAACATGAAAAGGTGAGAGCAGTTTTCAATTTTCATTAATGACGTCCAGTGACACCAACAGTGTCTGCAGGTTCTGGCATCTGCTGTATGTTTTCTTTGTAAATGACATTTCAAACTCTATGTACTTCAGTGATAAATTTGCAGAGCTGCAGTAGCTGCAAATAACTTTTATCAAGTGAGCCACCAACAGAACTCTACTTTTAAAAGCTGTATTATAAACGAGAGGACGAGAGGTCATGCAGTCATAGCAACAGTGCGTGAGCAGCCTAGCTTCAAATTGGAAGTGAGGATGGTTTGAAGGGTCATTACTTGTTGTTATTAACATGTAATGTGACACCATGAAATTAAATATAAACATCAAGGAAAATAAAGACACATGCAAAATTAGTTTATTAGTGTAGTGTAGTTTAATAATTAGTGTAAATTATTATAAATTCAGTATGTTGTTACACTACCACCTGGATTATGGCCAACTATTCACAATGTAAACAGAGACATTATACTGTTGCCACTGTGAACTATATGTAATTCGTGTGAAACGTCCAAACGAGTAGAAGTACTTTGAAACTGTCTATATTGTGTAAAATATTGCAGCGGTTACTTTGAATCTGTGTATTCTGTATGTAACAGGAAACACACACACACACACACACACACATCATGATTATTCCGGGGTCAGCTGGATCAATGCTGCCCTTTAATGATTATCCCCCTTCCAACATGATCTAAGGCAAACAAACAAACAAAAAAAAAAACAATCAAAAGAAACAATATAATAATCAGTTTTTTTTAAGCCAGAACGTAAATAGGTTTGCTTACATATAGTGTTTCCAAGCAATTTTCTAAAAATATCACAACCCAATACCAACAGCAACCCCTCTGCGTCTCTGTTTAATTTGAGATTATGTTATCATAATCTCCAGGGTGTTTTGGTAAGATGTCTGTGTTCAGTGGAGTGTGGGATGAAAGCCAGGGATTATCTGCCTTCAACCAACTTCATACAACTAACCAATTACTTCTGAAGCGCACTCACACACACACACACACACACACACACACACCCACACACACATGCACACACACACACAGGTGCACACACACTCACACGTGCCCACACACTCACATGTGCACACACCTACACACACCTAAAGCCAACATTCACTAATTTTCTCAACAGGCCTCAGATATCAAAGGAATTCCAGAGAAAGACAGAAAGAGAAAGAAGAAAGGCAGAGGATCTGCATGGTTGGCTGATCAGAGTGATAAAGAGCAGAGGAGATGCTTACTCACCTACACGCACACACAAGGTGGGCAGCACTATCCTACCGCCGAGAGCCAAGTTTCTACACTTGAAAATTTGCCTCACTAGACATGAGTGAACACTTCAGTTCACATGCATGCACACACATCTGCCTGAGTTTATGAAATGCTGTAACATGTTGGTGCTGCACATTATATTGTTTGACAAACCCTTAAAGCTGCAGCAGCTTACCTGTCTAAAAATATTTTTTGGTTAGATTTGCTAAAACTATCACTATATCCTGACTGTAGCACATGAGATCTGTGAAAAGATCAGGCTCATCTAGCTCTACCTAGTGCTCCTAAGGTCATTTGCAAGAATCCACTGCTCAATCAGAAACAAACTAATCAAAACAACCAATCAGAGCCAGCAGGAGTGTCTGACGGAGTGTCAATCACTGCTTGTGCACATGCTGCAGGCAGCCCCCTACCCTGCGCGCTGTCTCAGGAAACGCATTGGCCGATAAACAACCACCAGAAAGTAAAAAACTGCCCACCCCTTCTTTGCCAAGAACAATGTACACAACAAAGACAAAGAGGCAAATGAAGAAAAGCAGGCTAAAAAAGAAAGAATTAGACAGAGCCTGAGATAAAACAAAAGTAAACATTTTTTCAGCGCCTTTTCAGAGATGGAGGGAGCTACAGTACCTGCAAGGCTTCAAATCCAATGTTGAGTTAGCCACATTCCATTATCCATTTGAATTATGTATTGTGTGATTTAAAAAAAACAAACAAACACAAAGCGAAGATGGTAATAGTTACAGTAGCACTCCACAGCGCATCTCTCATATTACTGTGATGTTGCAGTCAAGCTAACATTAGCTTGTTTCTGATGCCATCTGGTGCCAAACATTTATTAAAATGTTTGACGTTGTACAGTAGCAGCATCTTAACAGAAGCATCTTACACATGTATCTTTAACTATTTTGTTGTATTTTCTCGAAAACAGTGATTCCAAAATTTTGAATGGTGGCATATATTGTAAGTCATACCCTGATTGCAATATGCAGTAGTAAAGTTGCAATATGATATTTTGCTAATATTGTGCAGCCATATTACAAATAATTCAGCTCAATTCAGAGGGATAGGAAGAGTGCACAGAGAAAGAGAAAAAGACGGAGAAAACATGAGAGAAACAAAAGAAAGTCCCTTTTTAGCAATTCAATTCCCTCCATGTGAAACCTCACTCGCATCTGTCCTGCCTGCATATCAAGCTCTGCTTCCTCTGAAACAAGGGCTTATTCATCCTTCAGTCAGGCTACACACGCTGGACAAACATTTCATCCATCATGGTCAAAGTTCACATCCAGGATCCAAGAAAAGTGTTGACCTCAAAGCAACCTCAAGGCCTAAAGCTGTGACTCACACACAGGAAAACAAGCTCACACACACCCATCTAAGGTTGTCTTTCACTGGAAGACAGAGAATAATGCGCCAGGTTTGACCACAAGCATGAAAGACTCAACATTAAACAACACAGAGAGCGAAGAAGAACAAAAGAGAACAACAGAAAGTGCATAAAACAACAAGAATTATCGCTCCTGACACAAGCTCCAAAGCAGTGACCCTGAAATGCTCTGGACCTCTGAGCACAAGAGGATGACCCTGACCGAAACTAAACATACACACATTTTGTCCCAGGATAGCTCAAAGAGAAAAACACAGACATATTTAGCTCACTGCATATATCTTCCAGTAATGGCACAGTAAGATAGACATAGAAAGAAGGTAAAAAGCCCACAGTAAACAGTCACGAGTCAAAAACAGTAACATTGAAACAAAACTAAAATATCAATAGGAATGTGGCAAAATTTCGACCACAGAAATTTTTAATTTGAAAATGGTAAAACCTTTGGTTTGAATAATAAAAAAAGATTAAATAGGCCTACAACAAAGTACCAAATTAAAAGACTCTACAACTTCCATGAAGTTGATAGCTTCTTGCTACTTATATCTAATTTAACATTCCACCAACTTCTTGTTCAAATTTTCCGTTTTAAGGTTGAAATGGAAAATTTGGACAAGAAGTTGGTGTAAGTCTCCAAAAAATTTTCACAAACACAAAGCTAACTTTAGCCTATTTAGCTTTCCAGCACTACTCTTCACTTATGCATTCAAACAGTTTGAGCAGCAGCAGATAAACACTGAAAACATCGGCCAACTATTTCACAGTTTCTCTGAGGGATGTTAGATAAGGGATTTGTAACTACTGTTCTTGTTGAATATCAAGAAGAGGCACAACAACTAAGAGCTTTTTCTATTACAAGTTTGATTCCACTTACAAAACAATATTTCCTGCAAGCACGCTAACGCCTCAGTTTTTGAAAAGCGAAAAAAATCACAGCCAAAGTGCAAAGTATGACATAACAGGATTCAAAATGCAATTATTTTGATGCATTTTGAGATTACCATATTGATGTAACATTCATATTACACATTTAGGTAGTTAAGTATTTATGGGATATACTGTAGACACCACATCCTTACATTGTATAAAAACAAATGTTTTTGCATGTGAATGAGTGACGGTGATAAAGTGTGTGATATAGTTTCAGGGTGCACAGAAAGCTTGTGTAGATAGTCATTTCTCTTGGCTGGGCTATAGGAAAAACACTCACACATCACCTGTACTGTGGCACATCAACGGTCTGGACACGCTCACTCACTCTCTCTTTTTCTGACAGCTTTTGTTCTGCCTCCCCATCTGTCTGCCTCTTTCTAAAAGCTCTGTTTTGGCAGATTGGCGGATTGTCCCGGGCTCTCTTTCAAGCCCACCCTAACAGTCATAAGCATTGCTCCGGTCCACTGCAGGAGAATGCCCCAGGGCAAGGCCTTATTTTGGTTGTAATGGGCCATTTAAGGCAAACAAGCACGTTTGACAGAAGAAGAACAACAAATAATATGTAAGAGCCTGTGAAAGCAAGAGTGCTTCTGATTCTGATAGGAGGTATAAAAATGCATCAATGCTTCTTATGTATGGATTTGATGATGGTGATTCCACTGCATTTATGCTGGAATGTTAGGATCGATAATAATAATAACATTTATTAATGTAATAAATAAAAATCTCAGAAAAGAGGGAACTCCAAATACTAATTGCCTTTTGTAAAACTGGATAAAAATAAATATATATTACGTAAATACATAAATTTATAAAGTAGTTACAGTGGTAGTGATTGTGTGAGACTGGTGTGTGTGTATTCACAGGTGATATCTGTGCTCACCTGTAATCTTCAGTCAGGCTAATGCTCGTCTCCTCTTTACGGAGGCGAGAAAGAGCAGCTCCACCCTCCAGCTGCAGTCGGACCAGCCTGCTATCCTCCAGCACACTCCTCATCAGCTCCTTATATTTACACAGCAATGCCTGCGCCTCCTGCAGCACACAGACATACACAATTATACTTTCTCAAACACACACCTCTCCCTGTAACTATATTTATGTGGGTGATGGGCGCGTCAAGTGAAAGAAGGCATCCTTTGTCTTGAATGTTATTAGCAATGCGAACGTTATTTTCATTCCACACAACCAAGCCAAACTCAGAATGAAGAGTTCTGTACAATACTCTACCACTGATGAGAAAACCAAGACAGGCACATTCAAACAGCAGGACGCACATGGCGACAGTGTGAAAACAACCTAATTACTTCAATCTTTCAGCACATGGCAATAAACACCTACTGCAATGACTTCTTTAATTACTATGTTAGTGTACAGGAGTCTTTGCCAAAGATGAGCTGAGGGTTTCAGGCTTGCAGGTCCCTGAGGACTGCTTCTCTGCACGTGTGCGTGTAGAGTCAGCACTACAAAAATGAAAAAAGAAACAAGAAGAGTTGGCTAAGGAGAACGGGCAAATAAGCAAAAAAATAAATAAGAAAAAACAGGATTGAGGAAATATGTGGCTAGACTAAGACATTAGGCTAAGAATTACAGGTTGAAACGATGAAGAGAAATTTAGCAATCAAACATTTGGGGCCAAAAATGCTAAAATATGGCACTTACATTTCTTTGAAAGAGCAAAAAGATCAAGGGAAAAAAAAACACACAAAAGACGACAAAATATAAGAGTTACTGGTGATGAAAATCACGTTCACATTATGAGACTCACTGCTAAATTTTTTGCTCAGATCCGATCGTTGTAACTTGATGGTTCACATTTGTGTAGGTTAGTGACTCAAATCTGTCCATAATGTGAACAAGTCTGCGTCCTTAAAGGACCCCCATGCACACATCCTAATCAATAAAGTCATGTGAGTGAACCATGTGCGTCATAAACAACAAACAAACTAACCCGCACATCATTTGCTCTGAAATGCTCTCAGCTGCTCATTGTTAGAGAAAGACGAAGACGACAAAGGGTCAGATGCATTGCTTGTTTATGAGTGCTACCTTCAGGTGAGGCACTGCTCCCACATTAACACTGAATGATGGGGCATGTACAGTGAAACAATTGGTCAGGACTACATATAAAAACCTCAGATCTGATTTGCAAAGATCAGATAAGTGAGTCCAAACAGCTCTAAAAAGCATCAGATCTGTGTCACATCAAGAAGAAGAAAAGAAGAAGATTTGTGGCACTTCAGCCTGGAAATGTGAACCTAGCCTTAGAAACAATGTATTCAAACAGTCTGAGCAGCAACAAACCAACAGTGAAAGTTTAAGCCATGTGGAACTATTTAATGATTTCTACAAGGAACATTAGACAAGCATTCCAAGTATCAAGAGAGGCAACAAAAACTTGGCCACTACAGGTTTTGTACAACATTTGAAAATACATGACAGAGTACTCAGAAATTAAATGGCAAAAGTGCAAAGTGTAACTAAAAACTATGGAATTCATTGGCTTGGATGACCAATCATTTCCTGTTGTTGAGAACATTGTAATTCGTGTCACATACTGTAGCCTACAGACTTGAACAATTTTTTACTTATTTCACAATAACCGTTTTTATTTATTTTATTCATTATTTGGTTTTTGTTGGCCCAGCGTGTCCTGATTTTACCAGGAATTTTCATTTCGATGCATCACTACAGAAAACCATTTCACTCTCTGTGCCATGATATTTGGAAGAGTGGGATCTGGGGTGGTCCCCTCTTTAAACATTTAGCAAAGAGAAATCCATACCCTCATCAGAAGCCCTTTTCGATCAGAACGCCCCACCAAATAGTCCTTGTTAGTCATTTCAAAGATGGGCTGTGATACACACCCCTCGGGGGGGTTTTCCTCTCCTCTTTTTCAACTCCCCATGGACAAGTGGCGTCCTTCACTGACCTAAATTGACAGCTAGAGGTCAACTCAGTCAAAGTCTAGCACGCTAACGCTACAAAGCTATGTCCTAGCTCCTTATTTTACTTAATGCATTGATTTTATTCCTCGTTAAATCAGTTTAAGCAGAATTAACTTATACTAAAATTAAATCTCATAATTAATATTATAATTAAATCAAATATTAAAGTTAAATAGAATTAAACTACAGTTTGCTGGGCAGAGTACACACAGACCACAATTTTATAATGCTGGCAAGATGGGTTTGAGCAGTAGGCAGGTTCAGGCAGTAATACAACACTCCTCAGCAAATATATCTAGACCTAGTGCCACACAATAGACTCTGAGCCAGACAATTATACATTCCTCTAATTCTGTACAGAACTGAGTGAAAAGAGCACAGCAGGAGAAGAGAAGGTACGCAAAGAGAAATCGCAAGCACTCCATGTTGAGCTGCTAGTGAGCAATGAGGACTGAAAGAAAAGAAGTGAGATTCCCATGCTGTGAAAACAATTCACAGCTCCAATTCCACAAAGACACATATAGATATCTAATAATAAAGACAATAAAAACGTTTAAATGTTGTCTTGCTTGCTCAACTACAAAGTTGAAAATCCAGCTCCCTTTTTGTGTTGTAAACCCATACATTTCCATTGAAATCTATTCTATCACAGTACAAAAATGTACAGTTCACATTAGGGGCCTCCTCCAAAACCAAAAGAAACAGCTTTTTATGGCTACTGTGAAAAGAGGTTACACTCTCTACCATACACAGCACTTGACACAAACAAGACTGTACAAGTATAATTTAGGGTAGTATCTACAGGACTGTGCAACTTCTGTATTACATAGGTTTGCTGTGTATAAGAGGGTGCAGTACTGTACCTCTGCAGTAGGAGGCAGAACTGCAGACTCCAGATTGCTGATAGTGCTTTGCAGGAGATTCACTGCATCCTCACAGTGACTGGTTAACTGCTCCAACCTCTGAGATACGGAGAGAGAGAGAGAGAGAGAGAGAGAGAGAGAGAGAGAATAAATAAATCAATTCTGAATAAGCTCAAGCAAATAAAACAGGAATTATTTGATGGTGGTTGTAATGAAGATCTTACCATCCTGAAACAGATCCAACTAGCGTGAGAAAAAGGAAAAGTGCCATCAAACTCCGTGGGGAGCTGAGAGATGTCTATGTGCTTATGGAGAGACTTTAGAGAAGTTAACAGCTCCATCTGCCAAACACAGAAGAGAGACCACATATAACTGTAAATGAACCTCATTAACCATCCAAGCCTTATTTGCAGCATTCAAAAACACTGCAGATACAGTGCAGCCTACAAATACTGTAACCACTAACCAGGGCAAATACTCTCATAAAATGAATGGATGTAACCTTTCAAAATATCACCACCTTTCTTAGAAAGAATTCATTTTTTAATCATTCTGGCATTTTAAAATACATGAAAGCCAATACTGTTCTTGTTAACTGAAATACCAATTCAAATATAAGGGTTTTCTACAGCAGCAATAATGATACTACTCTGCTGTCATTGTGGGAAGTATTTGTGGCTTTGTAAAGAGTGTTTCAGCTGGCTGCGTCCTTGGCAGTCTGCTCTCTGTCCATCAGCAGAGACACTTGTGTTTCAAACAGTCCTCCAATCTCTCAGCGCAAGTACAAAGCAAGGGGGTGCCAAGGTCAAGGCTACAGTCCAATGCAATGTATTTTTTTAAGTTTAAATAGCTGAACAGATAAAGTGGGTGCTTAAAATAAAAGAGCTGCCTCAATCGTTTTGAGTGCAATTTTAGTAAACACTGTATTCACACCATAACGCAAAATTTGCAATACAATGCCACGGTAATCTGTCACCTTTGTTCAGATGTAATTATAAAAGACAGGGAATGTGAGTATGTGTGTATGTGTGTATATTACCTGTATTAAGATGGGCTTCTCCACGCGCAAGGCCAAATCTCTGTCAGCCAACAAGAGCACAGCATGGATACAGCCGGGCATGGCCTCCTGTGTACACAGATTAACACAAACCTCAGGAAATATATTGCAAACTAGGTAAAGAACAGCTTCTGGGACTCCAGAGAAGTTCATTCATCTACACGTTCGCCCTACCTTCAGAAGATCATAAGTTTGATTCCCGGCAATGCCACAAATAGCTATGTTCATGAGTGTAAGAGAGCATAATTGTCCTCGCTCTCTCTCTATGTGGGTTGGATGGCCCTCCTTCTCCACCCAATAACAAGGCAATGCTAGCCAAAGTGAATGTAAAAGATCTGGTAATTAGTGTTCTCCTCCCAGCTTGGTAGCATCGTGTGTTGGGGGAGACCTAACCAGCAGGTGAAACTGGCCATGAGAAAATAGCATAAATCCTAAAAACCCTAAAGAACTGGCTCTCACACTTTAAGGATTCATTAAGTGATGCCATAAATAAATTGTATTTTAAAGAACCTTCATGTAATGCAAAGGTACTATGCCAAATTAAGGGTTCTTCCAAGAACCTTTAAATAATGTGGAGGTTCCTTAAAATTTGAAAAGGTCTGTCACAGTCCTGTGTGACTAACCCATCAAATTGAACCTAACCCCCTTTAAATTAAGGTTCACTAAGATGAATTAACATTAACTTTATTTAAAACACAACTTTATTGCTGAAATACAAATACAAATGAGAACTTTCCACTCAGCAACAATAGAAAAAAGACTTTCATGCTTTTATTGAAGAAATTCTTTTTATGCTTTTTAACGGGAGTTTGTACAACAAGATTATATTAAATATCGAATATAAAAACTCTAGAATCCTAGAAGCAGGAAATCTACAATGGCTGACGTCATAGGAAGTTTATAAGGAATGTTCTGGAAGCATCAATAGCTTTGCCTTGGAAAGGTCCTTTTTTGGTTTATTTTTTCACTACCAGTAACACAAAATTGCTGGACGGCTTCTATTACAGTATTCGGCCATTGTTCATTATGTTCAGAAGTAAATTTGTGGATATTAGTCATATGTGTGTCAGGTTTCCTCGTTTTCCTTCCATGTTGGGACTCCGGCATTTGTCTTCCTGCCATGCATTAGTCTCTCAGACACTGTGATGGATGGACAGAATGATAAACATACGGTTTGGTCAGGGCAAACAAAGAGTCTGGAGAATGGCAGGATCCAGGTGAAACACCAACACACCTATGCAAACAAGAACCCGTCTTGGAATGCTGTGAGCTAGCGCAGGCTTAAAGCAGTGATAGATAGCCAGCCTGAACTTTCATGTTTGAAAAATATCTATTTCCTGCTTGGAGCTGGAGCTTGCCTTTTTTTTATATATATATATCTCATTTAAAGGCCAGCTTTTATCACAGTTCTGCAGAACTGAGAAACCACCACCATTTAGTAGATGCGATTCAGTATCAAAACACGCTTACATGTCTTTACAGTGCCAATCATGCAACTAAGGTATGGCAACACATTCTTACCTGTCTTTTCTAACCCAGACATGCTCAACCTGGTCAAGTCACAGAGGAGGGAAGTGTTATTCATTCCTACTTCAATCCACATCTTTTATTTACACAGCAAATCTTGAGTCACACTTACATTTGAACCACTAAACCCTTTCAATACGCAGTAACCAAGCTGCCTACAGCAAAACAAAGCCAAAAATGACATTGCAACATCCTATTTTCATACCTGGGTCTTTCCTAGGGTGCAGAGATGGAAAGGCTGTCTTTCTCAAATTCTGCAAGCAATTAAAACATGACAAATATTTGGTTTCCATCCTGCATACCTCAAGCTAAGACTCGTGAGAATCTGGCAGCAAAGTGCTATAATGTCTAGCTTTGCCTCCCAGCCAAGAATTTACACCTTATCAAACGCCACAACTGCGAGGGTATGTGCCTGTATAAACAAGACAAAGTCAAAGTGCCTGGACGAAAACAGTGACACTACTGTGGCCAAACTGATTAACAGAAAAATTCCATTCTTCGGCTGGCCGCAGTTCAAACTCATCAGATTGGATAGACGGCCTTGGGGGAGGCTGCAATGTCAGCTTGATGAGAGTATAATAAGATGATGGTATCTGCAACAGCTATTGTGGTGCAAAGCTGAAGCTTGAGGCTCTTTACATTGGACTATTGGGCTGGATTGCTGCATTCGTTTGAATGGGACATATAAGTACCTCTCAATCATCGTTAGTACTGACCTAGAACAGAGTGAAGGGCACCTTAATGCATTAAATTGCTTTCCTGGGTGTGCTCAGGCTCGCCTTCAGACAGAGGAATCTCCTAGCACAGAATCCTCAGGGCTAGCACCATTCATGAAAGCAAACTGCATATTTATAGCTCTAAACTGTGTGCTAAATATGGTGCTATATTCATAGTTCAAATCAAGTCACACCATACGAGAAGATGCCAATAGAATTTTGAGAAAATTCTGTGATATTTACACTCAGATTAGGTGAGAAGTATTCTAGGATGACAGGCCTATGATGCAGGAAATGACACTGGGCCATTCACCTGTGCCATAGCTACTGCCTTCTTCTTGTAGTTGAACTCTAACTGATGCCTTTTTAGATAAATGTTATCATAAAATTGGTCAAAAATGTTGTCCAAAAACAGCATAGAGCTATTTATTTACTTATTTCTTACAGTTTTCTCAATTTATTTTCCAAGCATTTTTTTTACTGTTTCTCTCTCTTTCACTTTGCACATTAGCTCTTTCCATGCAAAAAAGAATCTAAAAATGAGAATTAAGTGTATTTATCAAATACATATGAAAATATATGAAAACTTTTTATGAACTTTTGGGATAACACAGCTATGTATTCTTTCTCCTTTCTCCCCCAAAAAAACAGTGTTTTTTTTAATGACTGCAATTTTTTGCAAGGAAGCAAAAGAGCATTATTTTTGGTGCGAGGCATTATAGAAACTACACATGAAATTTTTAGTCTGCACATATTTTAATTATAATGTTTTAATCTGAAAAAAAGAGAAATAAACTACACAAAAACAGCTTTAAGCTTCTCCTTTGACTTTCAAGTTTCAAACCTTTGATTTTTGGGACTGTCCTGCAAAATGCTGGTTGGATGGCCACCATGATCTTTTTTTAGTTCAGCCATTGATCTTCTGGTAGTTCTAATTGTATGTACTTTATTCACTATAATTTCCTAAACATTCACCTCCTTCGTCAGTACTTTCACCTTTGATAGAGAGAATTTCTCATTTTGCTGTCTGCAACTGCTATGACTCTGTTTAACAGCACCTCCTTAATTCAAAATAGCCAGTCTGCAGCTGACGCCATTTAAACGGCAAGTCATAGATCATTCAGAAGACTAGAGCTAGCTGTGCTGAAATTTGAGTGCAAGCTAAAGGTTTGGCGTGCTCTTTAGTAAATTAGACCCTGAATCAGGTAAGCATTCTAAGAATCTGAATTTTAACTCATGACCAAAGAATTCTTACACGATTTTTTTGTCTGTAATAGCGTTATTATGGCAAAAATCGTAATGTGTATTCCTACCTAGGGTTTCACTACTGCAGGGGGCCAGTCCTTTCATATCCATCGTGTTTATATATATTAGGTCTGCAATGACTAATCAACACATTCAGCAAAATATTGTTGACAACGAATCACTTTATTATGACCTGAAAACATCTGAAAACATTTCACTTTAAAGTCATCTAAAAAGACGGTTTCCAGTGTGGTATGTACAAGCTCAGCGGCCAGCATGACTGTTAGGCATGAGTATGAGAGAGAATGTACATTGCATACTAATATCTCATTAAAACCACAGAGGAAAGTAAAGAAACAGTGCCTCACTGTCTGCTTTTCAGCTCATTCTGTTTTAGTTTAGCAGATAAAACAAGCAGTCATGGCTGAAGTCGAGCTGCAGTTTGAAACTGTTGGTCTAAACTGTGCAGCTAAACTACAAGCCTATCAGAGCTGCTTATACACTAATGCACACAGAATAGCTAGATGTTTTTAGTTTTTTTCTTTGGGTTGTAACCTTCCAAACACACAAAAATTGAGCTTTAGGTCAGTGAGACTTTGTAAAATTCCACTTTCAGTACTTGAATGTGGACTGATTAAAAATTGTGCACTTGACTGATCTGATATCACATGCATGGTTTTTGTCATCAAATTTCATTACATTATCGACTACAAAGAAGCTTTTTATTTGTTTTTGCTTTAGCATTTGAGGATAAATACAGAAAAACAGCACGTCATTGACGGCCATGAAAGATCAGTTTGTGCTGAATTAGACCTTAGGTTGTGTTTTATGTTTCTGTTAATTATAAAGGATGAATAATCCTTGCTAAATGGAAATTTTTTGCCAGGCTGTATCTGCAGGTTTTCATTTCCCTAATAATCGATAAATTGAAGTCATAATGGACCATTTAATCAGTTATTAAATTGTAATTTAATGTAAAATATAACAATGTTGTGCGAAGTCTATTGCAAATGAAGTACTTCATGACAAATAATCATTTCCACCTAGTTTGCTACACCAAACACTTAAGATAACTTCAAAAGCACTGGAGTACAGCAGAAAAAACACTGTTGCACATTGTGTATTGGTCCTTCTAACATCACTCTTATAATTCCTTTACTTCGCCCATGTCTATGTTGTTACTGGTCACGGCTACCGTTGAGGTACTGGCAGTAAGTTTGATAATGTGGGCAAAACATACATAAAAACCAAACCAAAACAAAAAAACAAGCAAACTGGCCACGCTACAATGTTGATTCCCGCACTGCACATCTGATGGGTATAAACAACCTCCAAAGCATGGATTAATTTACTCACAAACACACAGAGTGGCCTCTGTTCCCCTATCTGTCACATTCTCTCTTTCTCTCGCTCTCTCTACAATTAGGCTTTTTCATTTGTGAATTCACTGATGGCACGCACACTGTCCAGGCCTAAGGCAGGCTTTGGCAGACAGGGACAGTTTTACTGGCAGGGGCATAAACATGTCCCTCTCAGTGTTTCTCTTGCTTTCTCTTGCTATCTCTGTGCTAACAATCTCACCCCCGCAGCAGACAAATCATGTTTACGACTTATCTGACTGGCAGGAGCTAATTCTGACCTTATTTCTGCTTTGCTTGATCAGCTGCATATGCTTCCCTGTTTATGAGGCGGACTGAGAAACTCAATTAGACAAAATGCAGGTGTTTAACTTCCAAGGCTCACTTATTTTAAAGCAGATGCCTAAGTGGCTGTTAAAGGTTAAGATTTATGGAGAGAGTGCATTCTGGGCTAATATGCTTTAAAGTAATGCATACCTGAAGATATGAAGGGTATGTGACAGTGAATATTTATAGTGAGGTGCGTAGGGGTGATAACAGTAGGAACAAAAACAACCTGATGAAACATTTTCTCCTGGAGGACAGTTACAGGCATGCATTCTCACCTGTAGGATGTTGAAGGCCTTGAAGAGAGCAGGGACAGGTGAGCACCTGCGGGCGTCCACTAGAACAGTCAAACCTAGCGCCCGCACTTCCTTCCTAAAGGACACACACATACAAAATGCCATGTAGGTGAACAGCAGGAATGTAAAGGTGCACAAATCATCCCTCATATTAAGAAATCATGCATAATCGCCTTTCACAAACAGCACAGAACAGTAAATGTCTGATTTCTCATTGTTACAAATTACCAGCAAAACTATCTATAGTAGTTAAAAACAATACATATTTTCTCTGTCATAAGAAAGTCTGGTATCTCTGAGAGGGTGACTTCACATATTGTCAGTTCCACAACAAAATCTCTTATCTCCCATGAAGTAACTTTACAGCTTGGTAGTTTTTAATTTTTTCTCCAGTTAGAGCCTCCTGTCCACACGAAAATGGAGGTTTAGGTCACTGAGACCTAAAAGTCTCAGTGACTTAAGGAGAATAAGAATGAGGAGAATGAAAAAACAGTCTTAACTTTCAATATAAGTTAATGTAAAGCAATTTACTTCCAAGCCAGTTTTGGATCATTTATATAGATCCACTTGTCATGAAATTCTTACACATTGCAAAGGGCAGCTGACATTTTAAGATGAAATGTCAAAAAACATGAAAACGACAAATAAAGAAATAGAAGGTTTTGTTCCAACAGTGATGAGATGTTAATAAGGCTTTATTCCCACATTTCTATTGTAATGTTCACAAAATGTAATGGTTGCTGGCATTTTTAAACGGTAAAGAATGTATGGACTTTTCTATATCAGAGACCTGATACAATATGAAGAGCTCTGTCTATGGTAATACCTAAGAATGGTGTAAAAGTAGACCATGATCCGCACAAGCTCGCCACTGTTGCAGTTTGGGTTCAGCCAAGCCGTGTTTCTTGTTGTCACTGTTACAACTGCATGGCCTGACTTGTCTCGCGTTCCTAGAGACAAAATGAGAACACAGTGATTTAATATCTTTGCAAATGAGGCAAAAGCATCCCTAGCACCTGCATCCCAATCATACTTATTGTAACGTATGTGCCAAGCAATTTGGGAAGTCATGCAGCGGAGGTCTGTAACATCAACAGATAAATCATGAGCCTTCGTCTTACAGACCTCAAGAAAACATGAAAGGATGGTTAAGTGAGAACAAGCCAAATTCATGGTAATACCTGCAATATAGCATATACAGCACTGTGCAAGTCAGAGACCTCCCTTCATTTATTTAACTCTAAGGCAACATGGGCATTAAGTACAAATTATTCATTTTTCAGCACTGGGAAGAAAAGCAGAAAACATATATTCAACAACAAAATAGAAACATCATTTTTTCAAGATTTAGTGTGTGCTTTGTCACACATTTTCCTTTGAGTTTGACCTTATATAAGTGGATTATCTTCGATTATCGTCCTCAGAAATATCTCCTGACAAATTAATAACCTGTAGTTAATGACTAATAATTGCACAGTACGGGACATCTTGTGTGAAGATATAACAACTAGAAGTGGCAGAAAAACTGTACAATGCTGTAGTCTATGGAATGGCTACGGTAAGTAAGCCTCAGCATGACAACAGAAGATAAATGCATATATTTATTTCTCATATAGATAAAAATCTAGTCCCTCACCAGGTAGGCAGAGCACTCCTGAGCTCAAGATGTCAGCATTGATGTTATGGGCTTCAGCGAGAGCAGGCTGGCTCCTAACAGACATTGATGGCACAGGGAGAGGATCCTGGAGCTTTACTGCTGGCGGGTCCTCTGTGTGGATTTCACACAGAGAAGTAATCACGGTAACAGGACACAATGATGGGTTCCCTGCCTGAATGGAGTCTGGGAAATAGAAATTCGTTGAGAAGAACGGAAAAAAAAGATAGACATCATACTCACAAGCACACACTCAAAACAATAGCCTCTTTTCCACTGTACAGCCTAATGGTAACCATACATGCACTGTTTTATTCCACTCTGGACTGAACAGTTACTGGTACATTCCACTCATCCATCATTTATATAGATCCAGTTGTCATGAAATTTTCACACAATGTAAAGGGCAGTTGGCATTTTAAAACTGTCAAAAAATATGAAAATGAAAAAAAAAAGGAGCTAGAAGGTTTAGAAAGTACTAAGCTTGGGTTTTGAAATGATGCTGGATGAGGCGTCATACAAGTGACATAAGTGTAAAATTAAACAGTGAATATATACATTATTTAGCTATCTCAGCTACACTTAGCACAGTTAGCTAACAATGCAGATGAATCCACAGTTTATAATTGTTCCGTGGCAAACTACGTCCTGGCAGATATGCTACACAAATGGTTACTCTCCATGCGGCCCTACTAGGAATGTTAATGATTAATTGTAAACCTACAATTAAGCAACTGTTCGACCAATGTTATGAATTAACAAAACATCAATTTAATTTTACTTAATTTCAAATAAACCTCATATTATTTCTGAATAGGTGGGTTTTCCTTTGAAGTTATTAGCAATAATTTCTGCTACAAAAAATTGGAGCACATAGCTAAAAGCACTGGTGTTCAGGACCACATTTCAAGAGGGCGACAGCATAACTATAACAACGTTATAACTGATAGGACAGAAAACTATTTCGTAAATGTTTTTTGAGAGAAAGTGTGATGCATGGCAGTGTGAGTACATCATATGTGAGTGTGTAAAATTAGAGTGAAGAATGCAATGGACAGCAACAACTTTCGAGAGCTAATAAGGTACAATCAGCCAAAGCTAGACCTGGTCATGACATTTTGTTTTAACTTGGGCTTTAAATGTGTGGTAAAAATAACTTTAAAACTTTAAAATCTAGAACTGTCAGTAGTCCATCATTATACATTCCAGTCACTCTGACAACTCTTCAGTTGTTTAGGCTTTTTTTTAGTTTTTGGTCAGCACTTTAAGTTAAAACAAAACCAGAATATGAAGTAGTGCTTGTTTTATATGGTCTTGGGCCACACTCTCATGCCTGGCCCCATCTATTTGTACTACTTTCTACGGTCCATACAAGAAACACTTTTAAATATCTCTTTTGCGTTAATACAGAATTTAATTGAGGTGTGAACTCAAGTGTGATTATAGTAAGGAATTTTACAAAAGCTTCGACCAAGTCTCAGTGAAATGGATTTAAAAAGTGTAACCATCTTGTAAATTATATTTTGATGGGTCGCATCCCTGACTGTACACTGCTGATTAGCGTTGAATTGCCAACTAATGAATTTCAATTATAGGTCAAAAATTTGCAAAAATCTGCATTGCTAGACCCTACAGTGAAAAAGAAGATTATGTGTTTAATAATAAAACAAAACTAATAAACATCCATTTCATTCATTACAACATCAGGAAGCAGGAAAACAATCAATCCTATCAGCAGAGAGAGTACCATCACAAGTAGATGATCAGCGGTACACTTTCCTCCAGCCTTTTGTTATAAATAGGCTGACTTTAATCACATGGCCAGTGGCTTGTTGAGCTCAGCCTATTGATGGCTGAGCGATTTGTAGCGATTGAACTCTTTTTAGCTCTGATTCTCGAAAGGTCATTAACATTCTCAAATCTCTGGGTCAGGAAGTACAAAGCTATTGAACCTCTAAACTCTCTAGCCTTTTCACATAATAACTGGACAAAGCTGAGCGATCTACATTCCATGGTCAAATTCCCCAACCAACACACACCTTCACAGGGATTGTTAGACCACATGTGATTTTGCAGCAGCGCTTGCCCTGGGTCTCACTCTTGGCTTGCAAATCCACAACATTCCAGGTGTTTTTTGGAGCGTTTGACCACGAGAGGGCTCGGATCCAAGGTCTCTGACAGTGCTGAGGAGCTTGGAGATAATGTTTAGCTGAAGATATGTTGAGTTTGGCTACCGAGAACCGTAAAAACAGAAACACTCATCCCCAGTGCACTGCCACTGCAGAAAACAGCTCAGATCAAAAGCAGATGAGATACAGCCCAGGGAATTGCAAATGCAGCCTCACGCTCGTAAACCACAAGGACAAGGAAAACAGGTATAAACTGTTCAGAGATATAATCTGGCAAAGTTTGCTGTATTTCAGAAAGGGATTAGAGTTGGTATGGCAGAGGTGAGGTCCTGAGGACCGGGTTCCAGAACATAACAGAATGTTATTCTTCACAAAGATAAGGCGGCAGTCAATTTGACAAATCTTTCACTCTTTCTCACTTTCTCTCCCTGGCCCATGCTTTTCCTCTGTCAAAATAGACTCGCTCCAGGAAAGCCAATAATATCAGCAGCTCCAGGCCTTGGCTGGGACCCTCGAGGATTTGAAGTGTTGCAGAGCATGTAAGGATGAGGTTTCGCACTTCTCCCCCTCCAGTCTGGAGGGCAAGTCTGGCCAAAGCCCCTGAGCCACTCTGCTTCTTTCTTTTTTTATTCTCCATCACTTTTTTCTTCCTTGTTTTCGTTCCACCACAGATATGGCTGCTGACATCAGGATAGGCAGTATGGTGGTTTATTTTAGCTGCCCGGCAAATTAATTTATAGCTGTATAATTCTTGCTGTAGACATGCTAACTGCCTGAGAAGTGCACATGCATTTGTTTATGTCTGTAAGATGCACATCACATATCATGCAAAAATTACAGACCACCCTCCATTTATTTAATTTCCAGTCAAAATAGTCCATTAAGTACAAGTTATTCATGTTTCAGCATCAGGAAAAAAAGAAGAAAACATATTTAGTAGAAAAAGCCTCAACAACTAAACATAAGTCCACTCTTTACCTTTATTATAGCTTCCATTCTTTTTTGGGAAACTTGCTTTCAGTTTTCAAAGAATCCACAAGAATATTTTTTTCCAAACCTCCAATATTCAGAGGCATTTTCTGCTTCTCACAATTCAATTCCAAACACATTTAATGATGCTGAGGCCTGGGCTCTGGGGTGGGCAGTCCGTTGTTCTGAGAACACCAGCAGCTTCTTTGATTGATATGCAAACGTTTTTCTTTTTTGTTTATTTCCATTTCACAGTAGCGGCTTCTTGACAGCTACACATGCTTTTTGAGCCATAGGTTTGAGGTGTCTTCTCACAATGGAAGGGTGGACAGTAGCTGTGGATATTTTTTGGATCTGGAGGAAGAGTGGAGCTTGATTTTCTCATGTCTCTCAAAGATGAAAGCTTTAAGTACTGTTTATCTAAATAGTGACAGTTTTGGTGGTCTATCAATTCTTGCTGTTGTTCAGAGTCCCATTTTCACTGTATCTTCAAACAGGTTGTTGGTAACTCCTGTTTCTTTACTTACTGTCTTGTGACTTTCTACTTCTTTATGCAAGTGGATTATCTTAAACATAGTTTCCTCAGAGACTACTTATAAGATAATCCACTTGCATAAATAAACTCGCACAATTTGACATTTTGACTAGAAATTAAATGAAGGGAGGTCTCTGGCTTTCGCACAGTACTGTAGAGAGTTGGACTGTATGCTTCCTCACTGTTGAAAACTATCCATAACTTTATTCATCAAAAAGTGCTACCTGACTTTACTACTTTCTGTGTTCCATCTATGTGCATGCATGTGCTTTAACCATATACTGGCTCTCCAATGTGCATAGCTCATCAGCACTCCTGCACAGGCTGTATAGTCATCATGCTCTCTTAACAGAGAGGGAGATAAATTAGACCTTTAATCTACTTTCCAGAGGTGAGTTGTCTAAAAAACTTGAGCCCCAACTCAAATTCACTGTGCCTCACAAAGAACCGGGTTGCAGGACTCCTCTGTCTTACCTGTTCTTTTTTAAGGTTAAAATGCCCTAAAACTGTCTGCAACATTAGAAGAAATCATTCTTGCTTTTAGAGGAAGCTATCGTGTAAGGCTAGACAACTCAGTCATTGTAGCTCACAGGGATGGACAAGTAACATGCCAAAAAAAGTAAAAGTTGAGTAATAGGTGCCAGCACGGATGTAATTACAGCATCATCCTCATTGTAGCAGAGAAACCCAAACACTGCTTAGTGTGTGTGTAAACCACCCACCTGGATAGAGACAGTGGTATCAATCACAGCGAACAAACTCACAACAAACAAAGACACTGCCACTGTGGCCTTCAAAACAGCAACCCCCACATCCATCCACACCATCTCCCACCTGCAGCAGCCCACCCACTTACCCCCATTCCTGCACAGTACTGTTCACACCTGGACATTGTAAGAGCAGGAGAACAACATCTAACACTCATCCAAACCATTATACAGGTATACTTACAGACATGAGGTGGTAATAATAGTTTGGAGCTGACAGGGGGTATAATTCAGTAGCTGAAATGTAAACAAATTCATTCAGAGATGTCTAATGTGAGAAAGTGAACTGTACCAACTCAAATTTCTTTATAGCGGTGGTGACAAGAACCAGGCATTACAATGTCTACAACACAAATATAGCCATATTATTTACTATCCAACATGATCAGTGAACCTACTTGTGTTCTGAGTGTTTATATGTAATATTCAGAATGGTGAAATTTCTTTGTGTACTATTTTGCATCAGAATGCCCTGCATGTACCTCTTTTCCATGAAAGTACATGTTTTATTACAAAACTTTCATCTCAAAACTATTGTAAAACAATGTTTCAGACAGAAGGGAGGATATTCATTACCATTTCATGCAGTAACTTTCTGTGACAGAGCTTTTAGAGGCAATACAATCTTCAGACATCTGGTTCTTATCACCACCCCATGAACAATTCACCAATTTTTTTTGGAACTGAGTATTTCACATTAAGCCCATTTGAATTACTTTGTTTACATCTTAACCAATTAACTATTACAAATTAGTGTAAAAATCAGTGGAATGGCACAAGTAGTATTCAAATATCTCAACAACAACATATTTGATATTATAATAACTAAAAAAATAAATGCAGAAAGTTTTATGTTTACTTGTTGCATTACAGCTACAGAAAAGTCTTATTTACATTTCCTTTAGACAATTTAAACTGTTTTACTGTTTTAAACCTGCTCTTAGTATGAATTAATATATTCTTTTTTTTGCATTTTACTGTATATTTTTGAGTTTTATCATATGTCCCACCCTAAATAAATAAATAAATAAATAAATAAATAAAAGATCGATTGATGAATGATAGATGATCTGTACCTTATCGTTGAGTTGATTTGGGTCAGTTTATTTAGATCAGCTGATTTAAGCTTACCTTTGCATTTTAGGCACACCTGATTTCACATACTACCAGCTGACATACAGAACATTAAGTTGGAGTGACATCTTTATACTGTACAAAATTTGTCATCTTTTTGTTTGAAATACTTCCATACAGTTCCGCTTAGACGTTGCCATTTTGCTTAACGTCAGAAACAATATAAGCTATAGAATAGTGACCAGATGCCTTAAAAATATCTGGCCAACAAATATCAAGATGAGTATGGATATCTGTATATTCAAATAATCAGGCTCATCCCCAGTAAATACATTTATATTCCCACAAAATAAGGCCATGTAACCTGTTGTTCTAGAAAGTGTCCTTTTTTCCCACTGTCTACACACACTCCATAAATCTGTCTTACTTCGTCCAGAGTCTTGACTGTTTCCAATAGTTTGTCTGCAGACAAACAATCAACAAGGACTCTTAAGCAGACACACCATCACCAGCCAGCCAAAACATGGTCAAATCAAATCTGCCATCAACATCAGCCCAAGGCCATAAATGTTCACAAACACAATTCAATCCCAAATGAAAGATATTAAATTACCAAATACACAAACCAGAGACACAGGGATTGCTGCACATGACCTACTCTTCCCTCCAGCTCTCTCCGTTTCCAGCAGGGCTCTAAAAATCAGCCTTGGCCATTGTTCAGCAGAGTCACAGCTAAAACTGAAAACAAACTGTCTAGAGACCGGAATATGACCTGCAATGAAGCCTGCCCTTGTAAAATGCTCGGACTAAGCAGAAACAGGCCCCCTCGCTCTTCCTCCTTTCAGTGTTTTTTTTCCCCTAATAGGGGATGAATAGAAGGGCAGGTCTCTCAGGCTGTAGCATGGGCCATTTGAGAGCCATTTGTAGGCTGTCAGTAGGCTGCTGCCGGAGATCCCTGTGCAGGGAACAGCTCAGCGCTGAAAAGCTGCCACTCCATGCTGGAGTATCTAAAGCAAACACAACCAGGTGGACATAGTGCTGGAGAAACAGCAACTATATTATGTCAAACAGGCTAAAGCTAACAACACCTGGAAACAGTAGTGACAGTTTGCAAGGTGGCACATGATACATGAATAAAACATTTTTCAAAGTGTCATAAAATGAAGAAATGCAAAGAAAACACAGGGTCAAAATTAAAAAAATAAGTCTGAATTAAAAATTGAGATGAGAGAGTGATGAATAGAAAGATGAAATAAGGATGAGAGGACTGAGGCTAGAGAGGGTGCTGAGAATGAGGAAAAGGAGGTGAAAGACGAAGAGTGGATGCTCCACTATATTGAGTAGAAAAACAGCTGGAAAAGCTGCAGCTTGGTAAGTGGAAAAGGGTCAATAAAAGGGATAAATCCAATGGAAAGTTAACAGGGAAAAAAGAAAAGACTGCAGGGTGACAGGATAAAGACGAATGGGTGGATTTTGGGATGAGAATGGATTCTACCTTGCGGTTGCTGATGAGGATGAAATTCCATGTCTGATTCCAGCTGTGAGGAGCCATTAACACTAACAGAAGATGCAAGCTCATCCACCGTCCTCTTCTCTTCTATTTTTTCCTCCTTTCTTTCCTCCTCCACTCTCTCCTCCTCTGGCTGAACCACAGTAGGAGTGTTCTCTCCTTCCTCCACCGGTGTATCCAGAGTGTATGTGTCCGCTTGGACTGGGGGCGTGCCTCCATTTGTGGTTGGCACATCTGAGACTTGACAGATTGGCTCTGTTTTGATCTCAGAAACATCAGTTTCCTCACTTTCAATAGTACCACCCTGCTCAACTCTCTTGGAGCTAAGTGGTGCACTTTCTACTTCCTCAGCCTTCTCTGTTTCAACCCCTTTCTCCTCCTCTACCTTCTGCATTCCCTCCTTCTCTTCTCTTCTCTCCTCTGTTTGTTCTGTCTCCTGAACTGGAGTGGTGCCAGATTTGGGTGTGGAATCCACCAAACCTGTCTGAGGAGTCTCTCCTTTGTCTCCTCCATCAACCGCCACTCTGTTTTTGTCCTCCTCACCTTTGCACCCTCTCTCCATCTCTTCTCCTGCAACTCCTGTCTCACTCACCTCCTCATATAGTGTCTCACCCTTTCGTTCCTTCTCTTTGGAGCTTACTTCCTCTACCTTTACCTCCTTCTCAGTTTCTGTATGTGCATCTCCCTCACTCTCTTTCTCCTCACATGACTCTGTCCTCTCTTGACCTGGTCCGGTAGTTGTAACTTGACTCTCCTCAGGCTCTGGAGGGACAAAGGCACAGTCTACCTGCAGCCCCATGGGGCCTGCTGACCCAGGCCTGCCCTTTTCAACATTACAGAAGCTGGGGCTGCTTTCGCTACCACATGGATCATTCTTAGAGGCTATGGGCTGACCGACTGGCCTGTCTACTGGATCTTCCTGTTCAGACTCAGCTTGTGCTTCTATATCTGTGCTATTCTGAACCTCACTGGCGTCTGCCTGTACCTCTGTCTGTTCCTCAACAGACTTAGCAACTTCTATAAGCTCTGGTATGCTAATGTGTTGAGCATCCCTCATGCTACTGTCCATTTCAATCTCACTTTCAACTCTCTGCTCACCTCCAGAAGTCTTTTCTAAGTATGTGGTAATGCTATTTTTTGTAGGCTGGTCTTGGTTAGTGTTTTCTGGCTCTTGAACACTAGTTACTGGACAATGATGGATGCCATTTAACGTTTCAGTGTCTGAACTTGATATGTTATTCATTTTTGAGTCACAAAGTGCTGTGTTGCTGCAGTCCGTGCTTTCAGGCACACATTCTCTGTCAGATTCATGCTCAGGCATACTGTTGGAGGGAGCTGTACATGTACCTGTAGCACAGATGGCTTCGCATTGGTTCACCTGCTGCTGCTGGTTGTGCAGATCTGCTGGAGTGGTGCAGGTTATTTGAGGCTGAAATGGGTCACTCAGGTTCTCCTCAATCAGCATGGCACACACCATGCTTTGAGAGCAAAAGGTGTTTTTTATAGGGTTCTGAGAGGGATTAGCATTTTGTTGCATTAGTGAAGGTCCTGGAGTCTGTGGCTTGTGCAGGTTTCTGTAGTTCATGCTTATGGACTGGGTCAAAGAGCCTTTCTGTGGCGAAAAGCGAGGCAGCTCAATTTCCGTCAGCTCCACATATTCGCCCTCCGAATCGTCAGCAGCACTGCTCGAACTCCTCCCGCTGCTGACCTTACTGGACTGTTCTTTCAAAGCAGGGAGGAGCTTAACTCCCTTACTCTGATTCTCTCTGTCTTCTGACTGGCCCATGGAAGTGTCAATCAAAATCCCATGTCCCGACTCGAAGATAGTGGAGCTATCTTCATGCTCTGTATCAGAGTCTTCTCCCCTACCGTCAATGCCCTTCAGCCTTCCATTCCCCAACACCGCCTGGGTCACTTTTGGGGGTTTGCTAATGAACTCTGGTTGCACAACATCCTCCCAGGGGACCCTGAAAATATTGTTATCCGCAGAGAGGAGGCAGTGTTCCAGTGCAGCTCGGCCATCATCACCCCTCTCCCGGTTAATGGAGTCCAGCCAAGCCATGCTAAAGAGGGAGGTGTAGGCTAGCTCCGGAACCTCCAGCTCCTCCACATGCTGCCCATTCGCCGACAGGCAGTTGAGAGTGATGCGCGGAGGACGTCTGGTCGACGCCGCCACCTGCAGGTAGAAGTCTTCGGGCCTTAAGACACGGCTGTCCAGAGAGGACAGCTGGATTATGACCTTCTCATGGACACAAAGCGGCCAGCCCTCGTGGCGGAACAGGAAACCACAATATGGGAACTGCAGAGAGAGAAAGAGAAAGTTATAAAATTGAGTCTGATTAAACTAATTTTAATGATAGATGAGTGAATACAAGCAACAAAGACAAGGATAATGTCACTTCAAGAAGACAACTCAACGTAATGGGTCCGAAAGGATGTGTAGCTGTCAAGAAGCTGTTACTGAGAAAAGGAAATAGACAAAAAAGAATATAATTTACAAATCAAAGAAAGTAGCTGCTGGTGAATCAGAGCATTAAACTGTTCACCCAAGAGCCCAGACCCCAACAACACTGAATGTGTTTGGGATTACTCAGATCACAAGAAGCAGAAAATGCAACTAAAATCCAAGAGTGAATGTTGGAGGTGTTCAAAAACAACCCTGGATAGTCCTTTAAAATACCAAAAGTAAGTAACCCGAAAAGAATGTAAGCCCCAATAAAAGCTAAGGGTGGACATGAGCTGTTTCATCTTGTCTCATGACAGGGTCGGACAGTGCAGAGGAAGAATGGACAATGAAATCCTTCATGCCAAAAACTGTTCCAAAAAGAGACTTTCTCTCTGACTCTACATACATACAAATGAATGAATTCTGCATAAAACTCTCACTGTCCATTTACGAAAAACAGGAATGACACAAGGCTAGAAACTAGAGGCTAGAATCCCAAAGAACTGCCTTAAAAGGTCCATAAGTGCAGTATAGTTAACTCTATTTCTTTCTATAGACTGTGACAGTGTGCCACCAGTACACTTAGCTGCTCTGTAATGTGATGCAAATGGCCCCAGATATGCCAGCGATGGATCGAATATTCTCCTGGAATCTGACTCTGGGGCAGCCAAAAATGACCCAAGGTTCCCTTTCAAAGCGAAGGCTTGAGGAGTCTGGAGAGGATGTAGGGTAGCGTGTCGCTGGCGGAGGCCATGAGGGGGGTGAAAAGGCTTTTTATTCACAGAGCAGTATTCCTGCTCAGTCTGCTGGTTCCCATTATGATATCCTTATGTGCCTTCATAAGGGCCCCTAAATGGCGACCCCTGTGTGCTGCACATGGTGGAGAGATCATGAGGCACCCCACTGACCCCAGGTGCAACAAGGAGGAGATTTTCCCACACAGTCCAAGAGACAGGATATGTACACACAGAGAATGGACAGATAGAAACATTGCAACATACACAAATATATGTTAGACATAGAAAGTGCAAGGAATAACCAGGGTCAAAGGGCAACAATGCACCATGTTCAACATTTCCCTTTGATACAGAAGGATGGGGGCAAAAAATGTCTCCAAAAAAACTTGTTTTAAAAAGAATAAACATTATGAACAAATTCCATACAGTTGTGTGCAAAAGCTTGAACATTCCTAGTCTATAACTATACAAAACATAAAATATAAAATGTACCATAACTTATGCATAGGCAAAATTTTATGTTTTACTTTTCTCAATATGTCAAATTCAGCAAATAAACAGTAATCACCCATTAACATGTGCAGAAGTGTGTTCTCTGAAAAGGATTTGTTAACTTATTTTCACTGACAAAATCAACAAAGAGCAGCCAAATTTTTTTCATATTACTGTATATTAGAGATGTCACGATACCACCTTTTCTTTTCCAATACTAATACTGATACTGAAGCCTTCAGCATTGACTGATACTAGTTCAACATTTTTTCTTTAAAAACTTCCGTTCCGGAATGTCCTACCCAATACCAATGTCCATCGATACTGATATGCCATCTCCAATAAATGCAATTATTCAGAGTAAACATTTCATTTTGAATTTCTCACAAGACGTGCCCCCATTTCTGTTTAAAATGAGGACAAAAAATGACCCTAAAAATGCAATATTTCCATGGACACAGAGATGTCTCCTTTCTCTAGTGAAAAAAACAATAATTATCAAACAAAAATGCCAAAATAAATACATTTGTATGAAGTTTCCTAGGAAATAGGACTGTGTAATATATCATTTGTTAATGATTATTTGTTAATGATATTAGCCTTTTCAATACTGACACTGCAAAATCCATTAATATGCAAATAAGCCCTGTAACCAATCACAATATATTTTTAATGTACGCTATAAGCATCTTGACCAACCACAGTTTCAGATGCGTGTTTCTGTGGGCGTTTTAATGAATCACAGAATTCATCTTTTCAAACTACAGTCAATTATATGTTGGTCAAAATGACGCTGGCCAGGACATTACTGATTCACCATTGAAGTTTTAATATAATACAAGGCATATCGCAATCGTCCATAACATTCAGCCCTGCTTGGATCTAGTATTAACACTGAGCAGTAGCAGGGACTGAGACAGACACACACATGCCCGCACACACACACACATAAAAGCATGGGAGAGACTATAAACAAACCAGTGTCAAGCAGCTTCCGTTTTAAAGGTCACCTTTCAGCCTTGTCACCAGAATGACCCTCTCTTCCCCCACAGGTGTGTGTTTCTGAGTATGTATGTATGTATGCGTGTGTGTGTGTGTGCGCGTGTGTGTGTGTGTGAGGGAGAAGCAAAAGAGATTAGAAACAAAGCTGTGGTCACTGCGCTATCGGAGCAATCAGGGGTCAGGGGTTGGTCTCTTTCACTGCTTCAATGGCCAAAGCAACACAGAGGCACTCTACATTCAAAGCTTTCCTGCTGTCTTTAATGATCTATTTATCTTTTTGTCTCTGTTTTCAGAGCAAGGGTGTCACTAATGCTAGCATTTACAAGTTTGGAATCATTGTTTTCAATAATATTAAACCAATTTGGTTGCAGACAAGTACATAAAATTATTTGATTTAATTAATTGATGCTAGAAAATAAATATTTCTTGTGTCCACAGTGATAAACAGAGTTGTAAAATGGCTAAGAAATCTGCATCACATTGAGAATTATGTTATGATGAAATTAATCTTAGACTTCATCATATCTCAAAAATGGAGCTCAGAATTAAAGGCAGATAACTTGACAAAACATTTAGTGTAAAGGGCCCATATCTGACACTTTTCTTTTTACATATATATGGATGGTGGATCATTCTCAGCACTGCAGTAACACTGACGTGGTGGTGGTGTGTTAGTGTGTGTTGCGCTGGTCTGAGTGGATCAGACATGGCAGTGCTGCTGGAGTTTTTAAACACCTCAGTGTCACTGCTGTACTGAGAATAGTCCACCAACCAAAAATATCCAGCCAACAGCGTCCTGTGGGCAGCGTCCTGTGACCACTGATGAAGGACTAGAGGATGACCAACACAAACTGTGCAGCAGCAGATGGGCTATCGTCTCTGACTTTACATCTACAAGGTGGACTGACAAGGTAGGAGTGTCTAATAGAGTGGACAGTGAGTGGACACAGTGTTTGAAAACTCCAGCAGCACTGCTGTGTCTGATCCACTCGTGCCAGCGCAACACACACTAACACACTACCACCACATTAGTGTTACTTCAGTGCTGAGAATGATCCACCACCCAGATTCCTGCTCTGTACTGAAGAACAGGGTAAAAGGGGGCTAACAAAGTATGCAGAGAAACAGATGGACTACAGTCTGTAATTGTAATTAACTACATAGTACATCTATATAGTAAGTGGAGCTGATAAAATGGACAATGAGCGTAGAAACAAGGAGGTGGTCATAATGTTATGCCTGATCGGTGTACATATTTTATATAAATTATTATTGTTTATAAATTAAAAAGTATTTACAAGGCACACAATTTCAAACATTTGAACACTAGTGTTAGCCATCCAGCACTTACATCTAACACAAATTTATCTGAATACTTACATAATAAAACAAATATTTTATTGACAATAACAAAATGATAAAATACATTAGGTTATTTTCATTTGAAAAAATGACAAAGTGGCAGGTGGGCGGGGAATGAGGTCTCTACAGTTCTTTCATTACCTGTACTCTTTAGGGCAAAGGCTCTACAGTTTTGACAGAAAATGCATAGCTTTTAACCATTAAATGCCTGTTAATAGTGGTGATTTTCCTGTCAAAAGTGCAGAGAATGGAACGCAGGCAATGAAAAGCAAAAAGTCACAGTCTCTCTCTCTCTCCCTCT